CCTAGGAACGGTTTTCTGGAATTGGGTTAAAAATGGAACTGTTTAAATGAAGAAATGTATTTCTACTTAGAATCAAGATGCAGTTTTGTGTATGCATATATGCTTTATTAACTGGTGATTTATGAATTGTTTTGCGGAACTATTTATGTAAAAATGGAATTACTTATGGAACTGGTTTTGTGTTACAAATGGAACTGTTTAAACAGAAACAGTGGTGCTTGCTAATATAAAAAGTAATAAATGTAAAAGAATACGAAGTGCCCGTGCCATCTGGATTCTACGACAGATTTAGCAATGAATCTCAGATCCAAACTCCTGCTTCAGTGCCAAGAGCATCAGTTTAGACGTGGGTAGTCTGTTGACTCCAAGCGGAGGGCAGGTGGCAGGTGAGGGCAGGTTTTCTCCCTTCCTCCTCTAGCTGTGCTCAACCTGACCCCCCATTTCCTGTTCCTGGAGGTACAGTCAGTATACAAGCAACTGCATCTTTAGACACGATGGTAACAACAACAACAAAGTCAACTTTAAAATAATGATGGTGGCACACACCTTTAATTCCAGGCCTTGGGAGGCAGAGGCAGGCAAATCTCTGTGAGTTCAAGGCCAGCCTGGTCTACAGAGTTACATGAAAGCCAAGACTATATAATGATACCTTTTCTCAAACCCAAACCCTAAAACCAAAAAGATAAAAAAACAAACAAAGAAGCCAGGCAGTGGTGGTGCAAGCCTTTAATCTGAGCACTTGAGAGGCAGAAGCAAGAAGATTTCAGTGAGTTCGGGGCCAGCCTGGTCTACAAAGCGAGTTCCAGGACAGCCAGGATGTTACACAGAAAAACCCTGTCTCGAAAAACAAAACAAAAAAGCAAACAAAAACCACCATCAACATCAACATCAACATCAACAACAACACCATTGTAGACCGGCATGATGGGTCACATTTTTTCTTTGTGTAGCCTTGGCTGTCCTAGAATTCTCTCTATGGAGCAAGCTGGCCTGGAATTCACAGAGATCCACCTACCTCTGTCTCCCGATTGCTGGGATTAAAGGCGTGAACCACCACTGCCAGGCTAATAGGTCACATTTGTAATCCTAGCACTTGGGAGAGTTCAAGACCAAGTTGGACTGTGTACCCATTTTAGGCTAGTCCCAAGATGCTCAGCAGGAGTAAAATCTTTTTAAAGAGTTACTTATTTGCCTGTCTGTTCCTGCATTATGTGGTTGCAGTGCCCACAGAAGTGAGAAAAGGTGGTAAGATCCTTTGGAACTGGAGTTGCACTGCTGGGAGCTGAACTCGGTCCTCCAAGAGCAGCATGTGCACCTACTGCTGAGCCCTCTCTCTAGCAGCCCCCCCCCCAATAATAAGTCTGCGATCAATTAGAATGGCATTTGCAAGAGTTGTTGACTGAGAAAGAGCTGTAAAATGAGAGACAGAAACACGCTGTTTCCAAAAAATAGTCATGCTGTTCTTAGAAGTGCAAGTCTTTGAGCCAATTAGAAGTTGGAGGGGAGGGAAAGCATTGCTAGATTAAACATCTCCCACGAAAAGGCAACTAATCACATAAGATGCTTTTCCCAGTTCCTCGGGCGCCCGGCAATACAAGCACTCACAACTGGAGACAAACTTTTCTAAGGGCAAGGTCTCGCCAAAGACATCCAAAAGTACACAACAGCAAATTCCTCACTTGGCATCTGGTCCACCCACTCGTTTCTTATTAGTATGGTTCCAGTGAATTTGCAAATCTCAGATTTCCTAGAACCTCCTATTCCCGTGCCCAACAGGCAACAGCGTTGGGGACGAAGTCCTAATCACTTGAGTTTAGTGGGAAAGGTACACAACCAGATTGTGGTTTCTGTTCCACACCCTTCAGCACTCCTGCTCTCAGCTCCACACTTGTGTCCCCGACGCTGGAAGGTGACTGCGGCAGCACTGGTCGGGTGAGAATGACCTAACTGAACCGCAGAGCACTCTAGGGTGGTGCTCTGGCGCGGGGATCACGCTCCTCCCACAGCCAGACGCCTAGGGGCCTGGAGGCCGTTCTTTCCCAAGCCCACAAGTTCTTCGGGCTTCGGGACAGCACTCCACGATCCGGCCACGCCATAAGGGGATCTGAAGGCCACCGGCCATGAGCGTCCCGTTGCGATCCGGCCGGAGCACCTGGCGGCGGGCAGCCACCGTGGTGCTAGCCGCGGGCTGGAACCGTCCGAGTCCCGGCGCCCCTCAGTCTGCCGACGACTTCCGGCTGCTGCTTCTCGAGCGCGCCCCAAACCAGCGCTTCATGCCAGGCGCGCACGTCTTCCCGGGCGGAGTGCTGGACGCCGCCGACAGCTCGGCCGATTGGCTGCGACTGTTCGCGCCCCGGCACACACCGTCGCGCTTCGGCCTGGGCCCGGCGCCGCCTCAGCACCCCTCTTTCCCGGGGCTCGTCCACGACAACGCGCACGCCGGGGCGCTGCCCGATGATGTAGCGCTGCGCATCTGCGCTGTCCGCGAGGCCTTCGAGGAGGCTGGGGTGCTGCTGCTGAGGCCGCGGGACTCGGCGCCGGCTTCCCCGGGGCCCGGCCTGGCGCTGTCGCCTCCGCCGGGCCTGGCCGACTGGCGCTCGCGCGTGCGCAGTGACCCGCGCTGCTTCCTGCAGCTGTGCGAGCACCTGGACTGCACGCCCGACATCTGGGCTCTGAGCAACTGGGGCGGCTGGCTCACGCCGTACGGGCGTGGCACCCGCCGCTTCGACACCACCTTCCTCCTGTGCTGCCTGCGCGAGACCCCGCCGGTGGATCCCGACCTCACCGAGGTGGTGGGCTACAAGGTAGGGCCCGCGTACCCCGCGGGATGCGCTGAGCATTACCGCCGACCAAAGGCGTGACATTGCCGGAGGCTCTCACCCCATGGGGACACGGCAGAGCTCCCGTTGCCTGTTCTGAAAACTAAACAACGATTCATTCACTTCATCCCCTAATCGTTATCATTCGATTTCTGGAGCATATTACAGGATTTCAGTCCTATCAACTTTCCTCTCCCCTCTCCCTCCCTCCCTTGTTCCCACCTTCCTCCTTCTCCCTCTCTCTCCTTTTCCCGTCTTTCCTCTCCCATCCTCCCGTTTCTAACGCTTTTCTCCTCTTCTCATCCCCCCTCCCTCCCTCCTTCCCCTCCCTCACTAGCACCAGGCACAGTTAGGCTTTGGCAACTTCTTCATTTATTCAAATGTTTTAAACTTTTATTTCTTTTTTTAAAAAAGAAATAAAATGACTTATTTTAAATCGTATGTCCAAGTAGGAGTATATGCATTTGAGCGCAGGTGCCCACTGATCTGGAGTTGGAGCCACCTTGAGTGGTGATGGGAACGGAACTCAGGCCCTCTGCAAGATGGTTCCTCTACAGATCTCAGCTGAGCCATCTCCTTCGCTCCCCTTCGTCTGCTTTTTTTTTTTTTTTTTTTTTTTTTTTTTTT